ACACTGTTCTGCCATCCTGCTGCTTTCACTGCCATGCAAAGGTGCTGCTGAAGGGTGTTCCAGTGGTAGACTGCCTCCAGAGCCTACCCTGGGGCCACCGATGCTTACAGCTGATATGATATAGTGGGATGTCAAGAGAAGGATGCGTAGAACAAATAGCAGCTTTCATGGACCGCGCCTTCCAATGCCGTTCAGTATTTCTAATGCCTGCTTCTGCAACCCGCAGCCCCCAGCCAGTTTGGCAGTTTCCTGGGTCACTGCAAGACTTTACTTGCTGTTTTGAAGATCTCTTTAGCTAGCTCCCTGGACAGAGGGAGCCTGTTCTTTGCCACCTCCCTGGTTGGAGAGAGGCCCTCCATCTCGGCCTCCCTGCTTTTTTTGATTTTCACCTTTGAGCAATCCCCTCCACGCTTGCACTACATATTTGTGTTTTTCAGAGGTTTTCACAAAGTCAAAAATTTTCACTTTTGTTCTTTCCACTTTGCCAGGCATTGAGCAGTTAACAGTAGGAGCCACGTGGGTCTAGCAATCTCAGATTTCCTATAGGGCAAAAAAGTAACAACCAGTTATTCTTTTATTCTCATGACAGCAGAAGGAAATACATCTCACAAGTTTGAGATGCCATCTCTAAAGTCCCTTCCCAATCTCTGGGGAGAGGTGGCTTTTCCCACCTTTCCTCTGATCAGTTTTGGGATTAACAAACACCGGAGGTGGGTAATAGCTATAGCTGTCTGAGCTTACTCCAGGGGGACAAGTTGGACTGTGCCATTCTGCACTGCCCAACAGCAAGAGGCCATTGCATTAATTAACAGCAATTTCAAGACACTAGTGAGACTGAGCTCAGGCTACATCAGCACTACTACGGGCAGTCCTTATAAAAGAAGCATCCCATATCCATGAGGCAGACAAACCATAAAGATTAAGGGTAAACCAAATACTATGTGGTACGTAGTGCTGCTCTTTATTGGAATAACACAGCCTGACGTTTTGCATGGCTGGAAGGCCACCACGAGCCATTGTGAAGTCAGGGGAAAGGCACCTTCTGTAATGTCATATTTTGCTTTCTATGTCCTGTGGACACACACAGTTCAAGTGCTATTAATGTTCTGTTATCAATGTAGATGTAATATAAGTATCAGTTTCACTAATAGCCTTGCGTGATATGGTTTTGACCTGAAAGATGATTGCTACTGCAGTGTGTTAGTACTGAAGGGAAAACAAACACCCATTAAGATTGACACGATAACGAATTTGTGCTGATGAATGGAACTGTTTGCTTGACCAGCTGACGAGGTGTACTTGACAACCGAATCCCAAAGTGTTCCTCTCTAAAAAGAGCACACCTTACAATGAACACACTGGGGGAGGACTGGGAGAACAGCGAGGGGGTGGGTCAGACCAGGACAGAAGTAGCAACTAGCAAACAAACTGACTGCAGTGGGAATCACCATTTTAAGCTGGAACTGGAGGGCAGCAATTCAACTGGGAAGACAGACAAGATGGGGGGATAGGACCGGGGAGGGGGGACACATTAGCTACTGCATTCTCACCATATGGGATTGCTGTTTTGAGGACACAGCAGAAGACTAACTTGGAGAGATGGGGCAGAGATCACAGTCTTAGCTCTCATCCAAGATGGGGATGAATGAAAGGTCTAGGGAAAAGACAGCAGGTGTACACTGCTGTATAGAAAAGTAACTTGTAATAAAGGTCAAAAAAATGCTTACCTATCACCTCCACAGTGCCTGCAGATTTCTAGGAATGGAAGACAGGCTGACAACACAAATGGAGGTTGTGGGAGAAAAGCATTCCTCTCTCTTCGTCAGAGTTTTTGGTCAGGTTCCTGGCCATCAAGAATCGGTGACGCAGGCCTTGGCGTCCTCCTGGGCCCTCTTCCACATCAGCCACGTCCAAGACAGAGCACAGATCGATATTGGCATCCTGTATCAAAATCTTGTCCAGCTCATTAAGGCACGAACAGGTGGCTCAATAAATACTGCAGGTTTGATTTCTGTTCTTTACTTTCTTATAAGACATCTTAATACAGTACCACATTGTAAAATATCTGGTTATCCCCTCAAAAACAAACATTTCCACATCCACACACCACAATTCCTCTCTCTCTGTTTCTCCACGGAGGGCAAGAAAATCCAGGACTTTGGAACAACTCCAGCTGGAAGTGTGAAGAGGAGGGATGGCAGAAGAACAGGAAGGAAGCACCAGCTATGCTGACTTCTGGATCACATAATTACAAGTGGACAGAACCAAGTAATCAGGAGACTTTAGAGCAGGAGATGGTATCACAATACATGAAACCCTTGTCAGCAAAAGGTATACGGTTAAAGAGATCAGCCAATTGGGAAAAAATAGAAGATGGTGTGGAAAGGCAGCTAATGCAGTCTGTGGCGGGCTCTGGCATGCACGTATTACTACAATGTACCTTCCTGCAAGACGGAAATGAGAACGGATTCTGGCAGAAATAAGACCACTACAGTTTTGTCACTTGGATCCTAGAAAGGAACTGCACAAGGTGAACAAACCTTTACCTTTTCGTGTTGACTTAACCTGGTTTACAAGAGCAAGGCACCCTTGATGCCGAGCCCTTGTGCTCAAAAGTTACAAGCTCTGACCTGCTTTTAAGATTGTGAAGAAAGCCCCAGGAACTTGTATGACTGGCAGCAGAGATAACTACAGAGAACCATCGCAGAGGAAAAACGTTAGCGAGACGTTAAAGCAGCTGTCAGCTTCAAACCCTCCCTGCGCTTGCTGAGAGGATCCAACACCCGTTGCAGGTGCTTCCCCGGGGGAGCCGAGGAGGGGAAGGAGCAGGGAGGACAAGCCTGCCAGCACCCTCCTTCCCCGGCCAGGGCACTTCTCGCTCTCAGCTCTTCGTACCTCAACTTTAATACCGTCCTTCTCCCGGCCGCCTCCCCACGGCACGGCGGGCTCTGTCGCCCGGCCGGGCGATGTTGGTTCCCCCTCGGGGAACCAGCTCCAGTCCTCGGGGAAGCCCCTGAGGTGACACCCCCAGCCCGGTGAGGCAAGGCGGCCCCTGAGGTGAGGGGGAGCGGTGAGGAAAGGGGCTGGTCCCGCTGCGGCCGGGCCGGGGTGGGGAGGGAGGGCAGCCCCACGGGCAAGGCGGCTGCCAGAGAGAGGGCAGAGCGGGGCCCGGCGAGGTGATGGCGCTCGCCACCGCCCGACCCACCGCCCCCCTTCCCCTCACCTCGCCGGGTCGGGCCTACCTTACTGGTGAGGTCGATCTCGGGCTCGCCGTTGAGCGCCTCGCCGTCTTCGGCATCGAAGGCGGCGCGGAGGGGACAGGCGGCCGCCGCTACGCGAGGTCTCCCGCCCGGGGAACCGGGCTCCGGGGCGAACATACAGGCAGGCACCGGGGACCCCCCCATAGGGGATCGGCTCCGTTCCGCCGCCGCCATCTTCCCTGCCCCGGCCCTCCTTCCCCCACCCCCTCCCCTCCCCGCGCCCGCCCCTCCGCCCCGGGGAGGTGCGGCGGCCACGCCTCCCGCCCGCCAAGGCGGTGCCAGCCAATCACCGGCGGAGAAAGGGGGGGCGATTAGCCTGTAGCCATGACGACGGCGGGAGGGGTAGTTGTTATTCATGAGGGACGGCCACGCCCCCTCGAAGCGCGCGAAGCCAATAGGAGAACTACTGCCAGCTCGACCTGTTTTCTATATATACACACACAACAGAGCCCTCGCGACGTGTCCTGTGCTTTCTACCCAATAGGAGAGCTGAGGTGGTGACAAACAACCCTAAAGGCCAATCGGATAAGAAGGCTCGAGCGGCTGGGTGGGACACGGAAGGGCAGGGCCCGCCCTGATTAGGTGGGTACTCTCTCAGGCTGACCAATGAGAAAGAGGAGGTTTTTCACGGACAGTCGCGTAGGCCAATGGGAACGGGAAGGGAGCGCACCGGCTCTCCCTCCGAGCCGCGGGCCCGGCCGTCCCGTCTGAGGTGACGGGCGGCACCGAGCAGCCCGGAGGCGGGTGCCCCGGCGTTGGCGGCAGCTCTCACCCCTGGCTGAGGAAGCCGCCAGCTCCCGGGGGTCGGCAAAGGGTCCCCGCCGCCCCCTCAGATCTGACAGAAAGCCCCCACGCCGCCCCGCCCGCTCGCCGTGCGAACCCACGGTGAGGGGCAGGCCCGCCGGCAAGAGGCCAGCGCCACGGAAAGGAGCAAATCCCGCCCGCTGAGGGGGATTTTGCGGGCTGACGGGTGACCCCGAAGCGGCGGGGAAGCCGTCGGTCCTGTTCCTCCGCCGGTTCACGTATCCGCTCCTCAACCGCCGCAAGCTCCAGCTTGGCACAAAGGGAAGTCGGGGAGGGTTGATGTTTTATTCACCAGGCGGTAAACCGCTTCACTTGTCCCGGCTTATTTACCACAGCGTGAGACTCGACGCTCTTATTAATTAAGCAGCCGAGAAAAGAAAAAAAAAAAAAAAAAGAAGGGAAATTGAAGCTCAGGGAAATTAACTCGCTTAAGGTTATGCAGCAAATTAGCCGCAACGATCCCTGCCCGCCCTAAGCTGCACGCCGGGGCATTCCCCCCCGCCACCCCCGGGCAGCAAACCCCAGCCGGCTGCCCGCCCCCCCCGCCGCTCTTCCCGTCTCTCGGGACGTTTGGGAGACAAACCCCCCCAAAAAACCGACTGCCC